CCGATGACCGAGCACCGCCACCGGCTCCCCACAAAACACCGAAAACATCTTTTTGGACTACTTTTTAGCCGTGCTCGCAGCTTCGAAGCGGAAGAAACGAAGCGGTTAAATTTTTGTCAATCTGAAAATAATTGACTTAATAAAACGTAGATAAAGTTATAAAATATAGATAAAATTGACTTCATGAAACAGAAAATATTGGGACATAGAAAATTCTTAATAATATTCTTTCTGTTCATATCTTACATAGTTCAGAGGATATAGTGGCATAGTCTATCACGCAAACTTAGTCCAGATTGGTTTTTCAAATATATTTAAAAATGTATTTTCCATAATTTTTTATAATTGCTGATTTCATAACGAATTTGTAATCTTGCGCGCGTCCCCTTTTTTATCACCAGTATTTTTTTTTTTATTTGAACTCAGGTTGCTGGAGTTGCAGAGACTGAACCAAACGCAAGCCCCGTACACTCGATTACCACACTATGCCAGTAAAATGACTGCATAATAATGACTCTATGGACTAGAAAAATGTTTGTAAAATCTAAAAAAGTTTAAAAAATCGTTTGTGAGAACTTTTTAAGTTATCATTGAAAGATCACCTCTGGTTACACCTAACAGATGTGTTGTATTATTAGTGTCATCATCATCATTATCATCTTAGAACGACGCAACGATTTAAATTTTAAATTTATAAATTATTTTAGTACATAGTGTGCGCATATTTAATCATTTACGGCTTTCGTAGATCTAGAATCTAACATTTAGGACGGATTTAATAAAAACGCGATTAATGAAACTAAAACAACTTACGACACGATGAGCTCAAGGTAAGGTATTTAGTCACAGTATGTATAAAGCGAAGCCAAAGGTAAATGTTTTCCAAGTGAATCCGACAAGCACGGCGAATGAAATAACCGTATGGTAATCCCGCTAAAGGATTTGAACATACTTCGGAAAGAACTAAGCTAGGCTTTATCGATGTGTTTGTTTCTGAAATAATATAGACAATCGCGTCTAATCAATATTTTTTTACTTTTATGAAACCTTTATCTTGTATGGATTTTAATTTTTATTGACAACCAAGCTATTGAGATGGAAAAAAGCTTACTGCACTAAACTATAGTTTAAATAAGCTCTGATCAGAAACACTTTCCCAACAGACGAATTTTTGTGTATGTCCTTTGTAGAAAAGTTATACTTATAAATAGTTAGACTTTACTTCACTCTGCAATCTTAGCGTTTTTGAAACCAAACAAATTACATATGCGACGTTGCCAATTTTCAAGTTGGGGTACGTTTACATAGATAATAGGATGTAAAATTATTCTTTTTTGCATGAAAAAATAAAATTAACTCAAAAAATTTTTACTACTACGTTTAAATTATGGGAATTTAATAAAAACACGTTGTATATACCTACATAAACTGAATAATTTCGCACCACAAAGAATACATTCGTCCTGTACGGGGTCGATAAACAATGATGTCACAGCTCAACGTTGCCCGCACAATGTCTGCGGGCGTTTCCAACTAGAGTCGAATACAACACCGCCCACAAGAACGCGAAGTTTGCTTTTCATCAGGGCCACTAATAACAATTATCGGGCAATAGAGCCCTTCGAATTCTGAACTATACGGCTTTGATAAGTGCCGAATCGGACTAATTTTCGCTCCAGATGGAGTAATGAGCCCGATTTTTCAATTAAAAACAACGTAGCGCTTCTGCCGGCACGAACAAGGCCAATTACTAAGACGCAAGAGGCGCGGGTCTTTAATTTTATTGCCCGAGGAGAAATTCGGAATGATTGCGCCCTCATTACCGCAACACACGTTTTATTACGAACGAATCCGCTAAACGGAATAAATACAGCTGTACAATTTATGTTCCATTTTTTTAAATGATACAAGTATCCGATGACTGTCGATGATAGAGTGAAGTGGAGAAGAAAAATAAGGAAAGCTGACCCCACCGCCATGTGGGATGTATAGCTTGGAAGAAAGAGAGAGAGAGAGAGAGAGAGCGCACTACGTCATAAGCATTACATTTCATTCATTAAGAAATACTCCTGGTTTCTTGTATCTTGTATGACTGTGTAACTGATGTTTGTGCTTTCAGACCCGAGACTATTAAAGCTTCATCTGACGCAGAAACGGTGCGCTAGCCAGAACCCACGGGTTTGGGCCCTCCGCTGTTGGTAGGGCCGCGCAGGTGCTCATGCGTGCGTTTAACTACGGCATGTCATCTAAGGACCATAGAGGTTGCGGTGCCGACCGAGTCACCGATGGCCGTCGACTGTGTTTTTAGCTAATCGGTGGCTGGGAGCGGTGAGAACCGCCCGGGAACGCGGGTGTACCTTGTGTACGCGTTGTGTTACTCCTGGTTTACAAATGTCGTGACTTTTTTCAGGGCTCCGTACCGTAAGGGTAAAACGTGTCTGTCCGTCACCAGGCTGTATCTCCATGAACCGTGATAGTTAGACAGTTGAAACTTTCACAAATGATGTATTTCTGTTGCCTAACAATAAATACTAAAAAACAGAATAAAAGAAATATTTAGGTGGGGCTCCCACACAACAGACATGATTTTTTTTTCCGTTTTTATAGATAATGGTATGGAACCCTTCGTGCACCAGTCCAACTCGCACTTAGCGGGTTTTTTCTGCTTCTGGATTAAAGAATCATGGACATTCTAAAAGAAATTGAATTTGCTTCGTTCCTTATGCATTCGATAAATCCATAATGGAATTGATGATAAGGAATGAACGCCTTCATTCATTCGGCACAGTAGATTCAATTCAAAAGCGGGACATTAAATTCCATGGTATACGGGTATTACCTGGCACCACGACACCTAGTGTCGTGGAACAATACATTTAAAATTCGAAATAAATACATTTTAGTACAAAACTTGTAGGTACTCGTACGTTTTGTTCTATTCAAAGTCAAAGTGTAGCTATATTTTATTAATTTTAAACTTGTTGCAATCGTTACTTGTAATCAATCATTTATTGAAATTAAAAAGAACTTAAAAAATCCACACCATATTTTTTGGATTTATTTAAATCCGAACTTAATAACATGTAATAGTTATTGCGGAACCATTGTTCATGCGACATTCGAGCTCTGTTTGCTTGAACCAAATTAGAGAACGGTGGTCAACGTTCATAAAGCAGAACAAACAAAATATTTAGTTTACTTATGTACATTAACGTGCGCAGTGCCTCGGTAGCTGTAGTGTTTTATTAACTGTTATTACTCATCTGCTCATTAATAAATATATTTATCTTTGATACATTTAAGAGGAAATAAGTTATATCAAATTAAAGAACCACGTTGAAGATATGTGAGATATAATGCTATATAACAGCTACAGTTGTATGATGATGATTGTAAGTTTATATAATTTTTTTTAACAAATCAGCCATGTGCAAGGCGGACTCGCGCACTAAGGGTTCCGTAGGTACTTTTTAACAACGATATAAAATGTTGTACATGCGGACGGAGCCGCGGGCGAAATGCTAGTACTACAATAAACCTTGTTACAGCCGTGATATCTCATTATTCGGGCGCTCGCTTTTAATTCAAGTAACCTAAGTTCAATCCCCGTTGCCGGACCCAAAACATTTTTAATTTTAAGTGCTGACTCATCACCCGAATAAATGAAATCATCGTAAGGGAGGGAATATGCATAGTTTCAAAATAATAAAAACATATTTCTAAGATATATGAAGTCAATCAGACAGTATCAATCCGCAGTGGGGCCTGTTTGTGGTGGACTATGCCCAAATACCTTCACAGAGGAGGACTTTTCCCAGCATCGGGATATAGTATAGGCTATTACTTTACACCTGTTTGGGTACTATTATAGATATCTCTCAAATAAAACGAAAAAATAATCCACTTTTCCAGACGCAACTTTCCAGAGTGCTTTAGAAAAGAAATTACGTTGTTTACGTTCTTTATAAGTATAAGAAGGAGAAGGAGAGAGATCCACCTACTTTGTTATCGTATACTTATTATACTTAGTACTCATATTTAATAAAGAGATAATATCTGGCTAATGACCATTGCTAAAGACCTTTCCTTTAACTTCTTTTACTGTCTTGTGCATTTCACACGGGTATTTGCACCTCTGTTAGCATTTCTAATCGAATTGACTTAAGACTTAACACATTTCTATTTCCATAAACATGCAAATAAGTAAACACCACAATCCCAGTTGCATACTTATCCACGATAATAAGATGTTTTATATTCTGTTTGGTGCTTGCCATCCACTTGGATTATTGAAACAGGCATTGGCACAGGTTGTCAGTACAGTTTTGACTCCGGGGCGATTTGTGACTAAAGTGAAGTATCAGTCTATACATATCCCAGGTCCCTAGTCCACCACGCGACCACACTGCGGATTAGCAGACTTCACATATTTTGAAATATTTTCTGTTGTTATCGTTTCGAAAATATGTAGGTTACCCTCAAGTTTTCGTTCACCAGTGAGCACGTGAAAGTCAGCATTTAAAATTAACAATTTCATTGGCACTGGCAACAGGATTTTAACTCAGGTTGCTCGAGTATAATGCATTAAACGCGAGCACCCGGACACTAAGCGCCACACTTGGGTCGTGAGTTGTAACTAAGAAAAATTATTTATTTTTTTGGGAATGAAGCGGTGTTATCGCATACTGAAGAACTATTCCGCTCAATTTAATTCTTTAACAGTAAATATAATAAAAGTATTAATCAAGAAACATATTTTTAGACGTTATACAAACACTATGAGAGTAGTCAGCATACACATATTACACCAGTTTAAATAAAGGATAAACATATAATACATATTTAGGAAATAAGAACATTTATTTTAATGCGAACTACGGTCTACCATATCGTCAAAAGGACTTCAGGGTTCTATTTAATCAGTTATTGATTTATTTGGTGTCTGGTTTCCTTAATGAGATAATTATCTGCTATAAATAATGGTCTATTTTCTATTTCAGATGTTCGCAGTGTCTTATCCAACATGACGCGCGACAGTTACGAGATGGAAAACAACCGGCTGTCGAGAGGCGGCTCCCTCTTCGGTGGCGACCCTCAATTACAGCTGAGGAAAGCTCTCAAGAACAACGACTACATTACATTCAAAAAGCTGGTCAGTTACGGGGCCGTTGACCTCGAATACGTTTACCCGTACCCAGACTACAAAACATGCCTCGAGTTGGCCGTCTCGGAGCCAGACAGGCAAGAGTTTGTGAAGCTGCTGCTGCAACACGAGGTACAAATCAACAAAGTGAATGATAAAGACGGTAAAGCACCCATACATCTGGCCGTCGAAAACGGGAATCTTGACGCGCTAACCGCTTTATTGGAAGACGACAGAATCGATGTTAATATTAAATGCAAAGCGAACACCGCGTTGCTAATGGCTATTAAAGGGATACAAGATTTGGATGACAATAGAGAACAAAGATTATCGATATATGAAGACATGATAGAATTACTTTTAAAGGCTGGCTGCAACGCGAATGCCCCTGACCTCAAAGGCGTAACGCCGATTTATTCCGCTGCAAAACAAGGCCTTGAGCGGGTTATCATGTTAATCTTAGATTACTCCAAGGATACTATTGACCTGGACAGTTATAAGGATATTAGAGGTCGAACTTCAAGATTTTATTTGAATGACGCGTTTCCCCATCTTTTAGCGAAGTTCGATACGGCATCTAAACAAGAAGAAATTATTGACGTTGATAAACTATTCTCCCACTTAAGCAGACATGAAGAAGATAACTTCATTCGTGACTATACTAAGTTAGTGAAAAAGAACGAACATCGTGTTGCATTGGCAGCTAACAACGGCATGCATACAATGTTACAATTGAGCACTGACAAAGGCCTGGAAAAAGTTGTAGCAGCGCTGTTAAATTCTGGGGCTGATCCCAACGCCACCTGTTCTGGGAACACCATCCGTCCAATAGCCATTGCATGTCAAAACGGATTCTACAAAATTCTAAAACTGTTCATTGACAACGAATCGACTCTCTTTGAACCTGTCAATAACGAGTCACTTTTGCAAATAACAATACGGGGAATGAAATCAAGCCGTGAAAACTCTAAAGTTAATTTCAGAACTTGTTTGGACTTGCTGCTGAAGAATCCGAAAATAAACATTAACATAAATTATTCGGATATAAAAAACAATACAGCTTTACATTACGCCGCAAGGAATGGCGATAGCGATATCGTATTAGAGTTACTAAGAAGTGGAGCTTGCGTCGGTCTACGTAATAAATTTGATGAGCCGCCCTTGGCAGATATAAACGCAAAAACTTTGGAAACTTACCTTGATGAATGTATCACGAGTAACGGCGAACGGCCCAGCGACGACGACTACGAAATCCACATGAAATACAGTTTCCTTGTTTATCCAAATAACTCATTGGAGGATGAATTATGTCGCGTGCCTCTAATGGATAATAAAAACAACAATGTCAAAGAATACGATGCAATATTGGCGCCAGAAACTGAAGCGCTTCTTTACATGACAAGGAATGAGGAGTTGCGCCCCCTATTGAAACATCCAGTGATAACCAGTTTCTTATATTTGAAATGGCAACGGATAAGCTGTTTGTTCTATGCCAACATCACGTTTTATTCGTTGTTGTGGTTGTCGTTGATTGTGTACATCATACTGGGTTACAGCGTTGAAAAGGAACAATCGAAATCATACGAAGCTTTAAACGTTGTGACACATATTGGCGCTATCATTGGATTAATTCTTCTGATATTCCGAGAATTATTTCAACTGCTGGTATCGCCAATAAGATACTTGCAAAGCGTGGAAAACTGGATGGAAATATTTCTCATAATCGTGACCGCGTGGATTGTGGCCTTCGATTCGTCGGAAGAACCAACAAGGCAGCAGCTGTCAGCCATAGCTATTCTGTTATCGTCTGCTGAACTAGTGTTATTGATAGGGCAGTTCCCCACGCTGTCAACAAATATTGTCATGCTTAAGACCGTATCTTGGAACTTCTTTAAATTTTTACTCTGGTATTGTATTCTTATAATTGCGTTTGCACTTAGCTTCTACACTTTATTCCGTAATGTCTCCGAAGGCGATGATCACACGCCTCCGAATCCAAATAATGGGGTAAAAGAAGTTGAAGATGATGAAGAGGACTTTTTTGAGGATCCCGGCAGATCCTTGTTCAAAACGATAGTAATGTTGACCGGAGAGTTTGACGCCGGTTCGATTAAATTCAGCACTTTCCCAATTACGAGCCATGTAATATTCATTGTTTTCGTATTTATGATACCTATAGTGTTGTTTAACCTCCTGAATGGTTTAGCTGTCAGCGACACACAAGAGATAAGAGCTGACGCAGAGTTAGTTGGACATATTTCACGTGTTAAATTGATATCATACTTTGAAAGTGTATTGATTGGTAAGGCGTATTCGAAGCCATCAAAAATTTGGTCCTGGCTACCGCCGTACCTTCAAGAATTGCAAGTAATAACTCCAAAGACTCTGTGCATGAAACCCTTTGCCAAACGCATAAGTCTATTTCCATTTTTCTTACCTAAGTATCGCATAATTGTTAAACCGAATCAGGAAAACACCATAATTATCCCTCACGCTGAACCACTGGGGAAATACGGTGACGATTACGAAGACATCGAAGGCGGCAAATGTTGTTTTGAGCGTTGTCAAAACTACAGATTAGATCGGAAGATTGTTAAGAACGCTAAATTAGTTATAAGCAAAAAGACGTATGTGTCCAATTTTGATGAAATAAAGAATAAACTTTCTCTGTACGAAACAAAATTTGAGAATATAGAAAATACTTTGAAAAAAGTTCTTCAAAGTCTTGAAAATCGGCGTGATTATTGATAATCGCTTACTGATTGTCGATGTCAAAGTCATAATTGTGATGTATTAACCATTGCTTTTAAGCTATATATTTGATACTACCATATGTATAATCATATCTGATATTCCATTTGACTGCCTTCCACTAGTTATATATTTGGATAATTGTATAATATTAATCAAATGTTTTGGTAAATAATATAAGAGCTGTTTAAAATACCTCTTGCTTCGTTTCATTTTAGATTTTCTTGAAATCTATGGAACTTAAATAAATTTTTTATTCATGTTTGATCTTCGCATTCTTCTTGAATTATTAGATATCATCAATGTTATAGATTCATTAAAGTTCATACAAACAATATGGAAATATTTATGTTTGTACGATATAGGTACCACACCTGATTATTAATTTATATTATTTTAACATTTTTAAAGATCATAGTATTTCTTTAATATAGGTAACGACTTCCAACATGTTTTATCTATTAATAACAAAAATATTTTATTAAAACGTGTTAGTATTATCCTTATTGGCACTATATGCAATCATTTTTGTATTTTAAATTGTTTAGAAAATCCTTTGAAATATTTCGAAACTTCTTAATTAATTACTTTCTAAACTCGAGAATAAACTATATCGTTTAGCGTGCGTGTGCTCTTGATGATAAGTGATCACCACCGTCCATGGACATTTTTTAGGTCCCTAACACAACAAATTCTACAATTTTGTTATGCAATAAGATCTACATTCAATACCTAAAAAAGTACGGAGCTGTGAGCCGTCCCCCCTTGATAGCGAGACCCCGAGTGGCAGGCATGAGGGCGGCTGATGCTGCACATGGGTGGGACTCGTGACGGTGCTAGTTGCACCGGCACAGCACCATTTAGCCGGACTGGGTGCTTAATGGGCCTTCGTGTTCCCGTGTCCCCGGCTGATGCGACAGAGACAGATGCAACGTGGGTTTTTTTAGTGGGTACCCTTTTCAGACTGGGACTCTCACATACCCCTGCCCCTCCCCCATCCGATGGCAATTTGACTTTCTATTTAATGCTTATAAAAACCTTATTAAATTCAACTAAATTTAGTCTAGCCTAATCCATGATTTTGCCATCATACATTGACTTCAGACACAGAGTGGATTGTATCAACGAACAGTTGTTTTACAGACCCTGCAAACTGCAAACCATAGACCAATATTATTTATGGTGCGTGTAATATACGCTTCTACTTGGCATAATTATGTAGAGCAAAATTAATTACTCAGCAACCACCAGTACGGGTGTCATCGTAATCAATGGATTAGTGTCTTCTAGTGCATGCTACTAACTTTTAGGGCAAGACACTCAGAAAAGTTGGAGAAGAACTTGCGGTTTCCCCTAATCTTAAGGCCTTCAAAATTCTTTGGCACGATATCAGATTACAGCACATAACCGTTCCTAAGTGTGTTCCTAAGTTGCGTGAAGAATTTTCTGAGCAACCGATCTCTTCGAGTTATCACCGTTGGCAGTTCTTCCGTGCCTATGATGATCAACCTAGAGGTTCCTCGGAGATCCGCTCTTTCCGCAACTCTCTTCATATCCATATATACATGACCTACCGATGCCCGGTGTCTAGGGTATGAATTAGAGCACTACAATTGTAGAAGCTATCAATTGAGTTTTCAGGCCAATCGAGATCTATTTCGGTCTGAAATAGAGCCTATGATAGAGCGTGCAAAACTTACGTTGCAGACGATTTCTTATTGGGGCGATGCAAATCGTGTGGGATTCAGTGCTGCCAAAACCAACGAACGAAAAAGAACTAGTGTGCTCACTATCTAAGATTACATCTTTTTTTATGGTCAGGTGAGACAGTACTTAATTGTGAATGGTGGCGGGCATGGGATATCCGTCACTTCATACGGGGCCCGTGTACTAGGGGAGTAGAGGCCTCAAAAGGGCACTGTCCCTCCAGGGTCGTGAAAAACCTTGCACCATCGTGTTCCTTTTTTCGGGACAGAAACAGGTGTAATGTATGTTTTTAGTGAATACCTGTTCTGCCTGGAAAAAAACTAGCTTACTTATCAATCACAATCTTTAGCGACAATCTTTACGTACCTTATCTACATGTTTAAATGTTTCTACATGCTTTAATAATTTACTTATCAGTGACTTGTAACTACATTCAACTATTAATGACATCGCCTTTATGTTATGTGCTAAAACATGATTACTGCCTTCTCATACAAAAGGAACTCTTAAAATGTGAGTAAATTGTTAGCCAGTCGTATAATCTTGCTTTAGATATTTTATTTTGTTATAAATAAAAATAGATTGTTTTGCGTACTGGAAATATTACTGGCAGAAAGCTTAAAGCTGTTGTTATCTATTTCAAAAAAGCTCTTTATTTATATAATCTATGGCCCTTTGACTTTGATTTGATAGTAACTGACAATCTGACAAGTTAGCGCAAAATGAGTTTATTTTAAGTTTTGATGTTTTGAATAAGGTTTTAATAATAAATGTATCAAAATTTGATTTTACCTAAAAGTAAGATGCAAAGTACTATTAAAGAGTTATTGGATGCTTTGGGGTATGATTACAAACGCAATGAAGTGTCTGAATAAAATAGATACACGGTTTAATTGAATGTTATTAAATCATTACAGATGTAATTTAGAAGCAGACACTGTATTGGACTACATTCAGAATGATCCTAATTACGGCAATAGCAATCTGTCTTCAAAGCAAGTTAACGAGTACGCACAAAGATTGGCTTTAAAAGCGTCGAACGCAAAGACATTTTTAAAGAAATATGATGACTTAAAAAGTCGAAAGTAAGTGCATGTTTTAAAATAAAATTTTCATAAAATTATTTTCTATCTTTATATATACTATGTATTTAAGATCGTATTATTACAACTATGTGATAACTTTATTTTTCCGAATTGAGTGAATTCTGAAATTGTTCTAGTTTGCATTTATTAATGGCTGATTAAACTTTTTTATTTAATTATTTACCATTTATTTAAATTTAATAGCTTTTAAATAGTTTTAATGTATAAGTTAATAATGTACCATAGGAATATCTATTGTAATTTAGCCTGAGAAAATTAAGAAAAGCTGATTACTGTTATTTATATTAGGAGCTTTTCACACAGCAAATATGATTTTTAAATTAGTTTTATTATTTTGTTTACAGCACTGATAATTTGTCAGACTTGATAGTGTTATTTTACAAACTGGTTTGTGATGAAAAGAGATCCCGATTTAGTAAGCCAAAGGTGGCACCAAAACCAATACTAGGAGATAATAAACTTCAGATCACTAAAGAGGACTTGCCACAGGTATTCATTTTTTTTAAAAAAGCGCCATTTGAATGTATATATGCTATTACATTTGCAGCCTGCAGCTTTTATTTCTGGAATATTTGTTTTACATCTTTACGATAATTTTATAAACTGATAAAAATTAACACCATCATCAAGTAGGCTCTATGTTGTTTGAATAGATATTTAGTTGTTAATCTTGATATAATAAGATGAAGTTAAAATGACAATGGGAAAACTGAGCTGATCATATTTAACGGTAGCTATTTTACATTGATTTACTATTTTAATTTTTATATCAAAAAATGTACATAGCTTGTAATTGTCCACTTATGTGAAGCTGGGATGAGCATTTTAAATATAATTTAATTTTAAATATGTAATTATAATGAAAAACTATAGAAATTAAAAACAATAATGAAACTATAAAGCTAGAGTTTTATAGTTTTATAGTATCCTGGAGTATTGTATTACCATTACTTATCTCAAAAGCTTTTGATAAATTTAACCGTGGAAGGGCCCCACGAAACTTGCAAGAATGGACAGGTCTGCCCAAGTAAGTATCACAATCTCGCAGATGACCAGCATGAAGTAAAAGTTTTAAACTTCTGCATTTTGTCTGGTGAGTGAGGTAGCCGGAGCTCACTTTATAAGAAGGTGTCAAAACATCTGCATCCCAACGGGTGTTGCAAATATCCATGAGCGTTAGTTATCACTTGCCACAAGGTGGCTCGCTTGCCACCTTCTCACAAAAAATTGGAATCTATGAGATAAGCTTGTACTGAGAAAAATAGATTTATGTTTCCATTGCACATTAACATTACCTCCATAAATAACATGTTTTGTATCAATTGAAAACATAAATTTCTATAGGTTTTTTAAGTTAAATTTTAGATTATCTAAAAGAATTTTTGTGTGTTTTTTTAAGATAAAAGACAAACTGCTAAAAGCTGTAGATGAAAGCAAAAAATTAGTTATGAAGTCGTTTGAAGAGAAAGAAGCGAAACTCCGTCCAAATTGGTACAACAGTTTAGATTTACCAAATTGGCAAAAGGATCATCCAGCAATGTCTTGGGATTTCCCTAAGGAACCAACACCAATTATAGCATCATTAGGTATGTTTATGTATGTACATATTCCATGTTAGAATAGGACTCCTGCTGCATAACTTGTTATCAGGAAAATAAAAATTAGAATGAATATTATTAAAAAAAGCACCTTTTATCAATTTTGTTTAGAATGTGACCTATTGAGAATTGGCATAATTTTCCGGTTCAATTTAACTTACAGCAGGAATACCCATAGCTTCACAAGAAAATATCATAATAGATGAGATTCTTTATGTTTTCTCTGGTATACCCGGCAATTATATAGTTCATCAACCTGTGAAAGACACATATGACCCAAGAACATTTTCAATATCGGACGATCTTGATGATGCCTTGAAACAAATTGTGCAACAGATGCTTCCTTTGGCATCTAATTACTCTATAGTGCGGAGGTTCATAGAACATTGCAACATGTGGTCTGGGCAAGTGTTACATGCATTAGTCTCAGCAATAGAGATGTTATTGAAGGATTATTATGTAAGTATCTGATTGAAACATTAATCACAAATGTAGAATGAGCTTTCCTGTGTAAATTAATATTGCAGACATTGTACATGGACAAACCCTAAGCCAATTTATCTATAATTGATACAAATTTTAATCCCATATTGTAATCAAACCTACAAAGTAGCACCATAGCAATTTTGAAATAAATTCTTTTAAAACATATAAAAGTAGTCCTTAGAATTGGAACAATGTAATTGTTTTTTTTTTTTTTTCAGACTATGATAGCTCAATTGGAGACTGAGCATATGTCAGGAAATTTGTCATTGCAGAAGCTATGGTATTTCGTTTTACCCACCATGCACACCATGCAAGTGTTAGCTGCTATTGTCACAAACATTGGAAAGGTAAAAAATTTCATTATTAGAAATATTACAAATTGAATCTTTAAACTAATTTATTTCAACATTAATAGATAATTTGACACTATATTAACTATATTAACATATTCTTATTATGCCAAATTCTTTGCTATAATGATGCCTTATGTTTATGATTATGCCCAGACCCTGGAATAACACTGAATACTTCTTGACACAATATTTTTCCAGTAGTGGGTATTGAACCCACCCCCCTTTCCGGAGGCAGGTTCACTATTCACTACGCCAATAGGGTCGTCAAATTGAATAAATAGACACACAAAGTAGGCTACTTTTTCGTTAGATACATTAAATGGGTTTGAATTAACCCAACGTAATTTGAAAGATTTTTAATCATATTTCCAGAGTGAGTTGCGCGGTGGAGCTGTATTAACTGTACTCCATGATAAAACAAACACACTGATGGGTGACGCTAGGGCACAAGAAATCTCCTTGTTCCTGACTGAGCGTGCCTGCCGTCCCTACTTGAGGATCTTAGATCAATGGATACATAAAGGGACCATTGTTGATCCATTCCAGGTATAATATTTATTTTACAAAACCATTTAAAATTATTTGTCGCATGCAATTTGCAGGCTCGCCCGGGTGAGTACTATGCTTTCCCACTACTATCATACTTTTGCTCACTTGTAACTTGTAGTTTTTTTTTTTAATTTTAAAATGTGAATAATATAGCTTTTCCAAAAGTTCATTCAATTTTTTAAAGAAAAGCTAATTATAATTTATGTTTCTGTCTACAGGAGTTCCTGATTGAGGACAATGAGCTGGTTAACAAGGAGGAGCTTCCTGTGGACTATTCGGCAGACTATTGGGAGAAGAGATACAGCGTGCAAAAGGAAAGGGTGCCCAAGTTCCTGGACAAGTACACGGACATCATCCTCAGAACGGGGAAATATCTAAACGTTATTAGCCAGTGTGGTGGGTGATATTTTTCCAATCAATATTGGTATTCATTTTCGATTCCAATTCAATATTCAACATTATGAGTCTTACGGCCACAAGCACAGATGTCAATTAGTGGTTAACTAAAATTTTATTAATTTAGGTGTCAAATGTATTTAATTCTGCAAATACTCTCCATGTTTAGGATCTATTCAACCATTTTTTTTTTTCTTTTATTACATATTATATCATCTAAATTGAATAAGGTATGAACTTTTTATAGTATTGTTGTTATTCAACAATTGGACCGTTTAGTTTGAAAGTGGTGTAAGTCCATTTTCTTTTGTTTCGAGAAAATTAAAGGTTACTATATTTGTTGATTTAAAAATTCAGGCAAATCATATGAGGTCTGGCATTGTTTCTATTTCTTTATCAACATTTAATTTGTGTATATAAATTTGTCTTTGACTAATTAGATTACAATAACACATATTTAGGTGCTGTAAATGTACTTACACCACTTTCAAAGTTAGACAATTGTAAAAATCGTTTAATTTCAATTTTGAAAAATCAAATATCGCTTAAAATATACTTCATTTTAATATAATTTTGTTTACAAATACGCATAACAACACATAAAATTTTATTTTAGACGGCAATTGTCATTACAAGATACTGATTACAAGAATTTACTTATTCTCTGCATGTGGTAGTGTTTCAAAATATGTATGATGCACCGGAGGTATATAGGGTAGTAGCTGCTTCATGTCTTTATATTTTTCGTACGTAATAGGTCTGGCATTTTGGTACAAAGGCTCCAGGGCGATTTTTTCAAATTTTTACGGTCTTCCAGGACGTAGAGGTAATAAATTGATAATTTTAAATTCTGCGTCTGTCATCTTTGTTTTATAAAAAATGGTATATGGTGCAATTTTGAGGAATCTCAACCAACATATTTGCAACCAATTGACCTGTCCCCCGTTACTATTTTTTTTATCTGTTTTATATTTTATTATGTTCGGAAGGTATGAATGCCCCGAGAGTCAAAATTTGTGGTCAATTATCTCAATGCTGTTTTCCGACTGGACAACCTTCAACCACATCAATGCCATTTGTAAATTTCGATTTTGCCCAGTACACATGTCACTGTAGGCAATAACATGGCTTTGGGTCGTTACATTTTCTAAGTGCTTCAAACAGCATGAAGCCACCTCTTGCGATCCCCTAGAAGCAATGGTTTCGTCCCACACGTACATATTAACTTTATTATTATGTAAATTGTGAAAACCCTCGTTTAAGACGTACATATTTCGTTTGTACTATGCGATTGAGACAGACAATTTCGGGTATGGTAAGGCTTTTTGTAAATCAAAAGTGAAAGCAAAGTATTTATCTGGATTTTCTGATGCTAGAATTTTATCCTCTTGTAATGCTATTCTTGAAAATTCAGCATTGTGCAAGTGAACGTCATGTCTTTCGACAAGAATCATTTTTTCTTTTTTTTTTTTGGGTAAAGGTATCGCCAAAAGTACGTAATAGATTGCTTTCAAATTTAATACACAGCTAGAGTATGAATTGGAATTGTACATAGGCTACATTTTATTTAAAAATTCAACTCCTAAATAATATACAATTAGAAAAATCGTAATAAGATTGCGGATTTTTCTGCAAAAAGATGGCGCTACTGTTGTTTTTGTTGTTTTTTTAATACGCCAAAATAGGGCAAAGATGCGGAGTCATACAGCCTTGTCGTATTTATTTTCTTCTCACAGGTTATGCGCTGTACATTTTCTTATACATTTCTCAATTTTTTAATATCTATCTTTTAACTTACGAGTAGTGGAAACACGGAGGGGAAACAATGCAAATCGTCCGCGGGTGAAACCGCGGGACACAGCTAGTATAAAATAAATGAAAAATAACAAAACACTGATCGGCATCCATCTGCTATGCCACCTACCACTGTCAATTGGACTTCACCACTTTCATAATCGATGATTATGCAATTTCATTTACCGACCGATTTTAAGTTGTACAAAACATGGGATTTTTTTGAGAAATTTAACACGGACTAGTTATATATAAAAAAATTACATTACATTAAGCATGAATTACGTGATAGCTCATTTTTCTCCGATAGCTTAGATCCGTGATAGCTTAGTGTCCGGGCGCTCGCCTTAATTCAATATACTCGAGCAACCTGAGTTCTATCCCCGGTGCCGGCACCAATTAAGTTTTTAACTTTAAGTGCTGAATTATCACGTGCTCCGCGGTGAAGGAAAACATCGTGAGGAAACCTGCATATTTTCGAAATAATAACAAAAAAAAATATATTTCGAATATATGTGAAGTCCGCCAATCCGCAGCGGGGCCGCGTGGTGGACTATGCCCTGATACCCTCTGTATAGAGGAGGCCTTTGCCCAGCAGTGGGACATGTATAGGCTGTTACTTTACTTTTTACTTTCATTTTTCTCAAAAATGGACTTACACCACTTTCAAAATAAACGGTCCAATTATTGACTCAAATGGAGACACATTTATCAATTCTAAACTGTACATCTTTAATACTATTTTTAATCTGCAAGCGGACTCACCTCAAACAACGTTTTTACCCGACTGCGCCAGAAGGAAGGTTATTAGTTTTTCGAGAGTATATATGTATTGCAGCCTCAACGTCTTGTTGGATTTTAGCTTGAGATGTGTCGTTAGATTCGTATTTACTGTGAGAGTGACACTGCATATATCAAAATAAAAAATTACGCAGAAAAGCAGTCGGGCTTTTTAGTTTTTTGAAATATATTCTACTTGTTTCGCAGGCAAATCGATAAGCAAAACGAACACAGAGGACATTAAGTACTCGCTAAGGGAGCAGAACTACAGCGCCGCTATACAGAGGGCGTACGCGTTCGCCAGCAAGTCTCTTCTGGAACTGCTGCTCAAGGAGTACGACCTGATGGGACGGCTCAAGTCGGTGAAGAACTACTTCCTCATGAGCCAGGGCGACTTCATCGTCCAGTTCATGGACGCCACCGAGCAGGAGCTGTCGAAGAAGATTGACGACATAATACCCTCAAAGCTGGAATCCCTGCTCGGACTTTGCCTCAGGTGGGTAGTCTTTCCTTCTCTCTTGTAGTGATCTTTCCGTTTTGGCTGCGAGTATTTTGAGGTTATTTCGTGGGAATACTAGTTTTAATATCGCGGAATATCCATATCTTCCGCACTTTCGTCTAATAATACTTCCGTTTCAGTTGCCATAAAGGATAAAAATGTAATTTTTTTGAAGCGGATTTTGATCTTTTTTCGTGTTATTTAATTATTTGTTTGATTCAGTTGTTTGATATGCAAGACTAACTAATCGCAGGGAGTGGCCCAGACGTCATTTAGTAATCCAAGGTCGCATATCAATTCCTCCATAAAGCCTCAGTCACACACAGGTATATTGTGAGTGCATATTCGCAGCGAGTATTCCCTATCTGTGACCTAAGCATTAGGTTCTCTAATCGAAGTTAGGTGTTCCTTGTACTCAACTATTCAGTTTGTCTCTGCCATTATAACTACAAGTCTGCCAAAACAACATCAAACATCATTAAAGTAACATGCGAGTAATCTAGTTTGCTTCACGCTCCAGGCTCTCAGCGGCGAGCCACGACCCATACAACGAGGATATGCGAGTGGAACTGTTGCCCTACGACCTCCAGTTCCAAATGTTCAAGATCCTGTCGATTGAAACCGAAGACGAGAAAGGTGATCGCCCCTTGTCTTTTGTCTTCTATTCTTCGCGACCACTGTGGCAGGCAATAATCGATGTTTTTTTTGTTTTCTTTTTATGTGAGAAGGTGGCAAGCGAGTGGGCAGTTAACGTGATGTTAAGCGATAACCGCCGCCCATGGACATTTGCAACACCCGTAGGGTGGCAGATGCGTTGCCACCTTTTATAAAAGTGGGCCCCGGCTACCTCACTCACTAGACGAAACGAAGAGGTATAACACTTCCACTTAACGCCGGCCTTCTGTGGGGTCGTGGTACTTACCCGGACGGACCTGCCCATTCGTGTAACAGCCGAAGCTGTAGTGTGGCCCTACCACAGTTAAATTCGATGTCAAAGTGAGAGATCCAGCGCTCAATGTATGTTCGGAATCGAAAGTTACTTTACAGTAGCAGCGTATGTATGATAAGCTGTTCACTTTATGTTTAGATTACATTATGTGGTACACGGGACATCCCTCGCTGGGCATTGGCACTATCCAAAAAAAGAAGGCTTTATTCTTTGCACTGTGCCAGTTCGAGTACGCTTTAGTCGCAGTATTATACAGCGGGTTATATACATACTATAGCGTGATTCTTTGTTCGCGTCACCACAGATCTTTTTTTTTTTTTTCAACAAATTGAAATTGAAAATCTAGTTAAATGATATTTATGGAAATTATCGCTCTTTACCGACTTATCAAACACTTACAATTACATGAACAATACGATAAACTCAATAGAACATCATTTAACCACGTAAAAGTATTTGACGATTAGAAATCTCTTAAAATCCATTGTTGCTTCATATTTTGCAGAGTACAAACAAAACAAGGACTGCCCACCCCTCACGGGTATCGAAACGTTCTCCTTCGGAATGGAGGTGAAGTGGCCTGTCTCGCTGGTCCTCAACCACAAGGCCATCGCGTGCTACCAGATGATCTTCCGCCACCTGTTCTACTGCAAGCACGTCGAGAGGCTGCTCTGCAGGTGTGACCATGCATGGCCGTTGACCATGTAGTACGAATTAAGTTAGCTGCAACCGGAAGACCAATTTTTTTTATTCGGAACTGGCCAGCTCTTGACTGACATAATTATGACTACTAGAGTGAAAGTGAAACAGATTGATGCTAGGTCTAAAATGAATTATATTTATTACAATAAAAATGTTACAAATGCGTTTTGCTGAGCTCCGTTTAAGTCGTGGCTCACGCTGTCGTTCCTAGCGTTGATGATGGTGCAGGGTGTGACTGGGATTTTAGAATCGTCACACGGCCTATTATTATTTTTACATTGTGACTTTTTGTAGGTAAAATTCTAAAAACTTTCGGCGCTCTGGGATTCGAATCTGCGTCTTTAGATTTGGCGCCCTACTTACGTTACTTTTATCCAATTTGCCAAGCAATTGGATAAAAGTATAAGAATAATGCTTGGCGCCATCTAGTGCGCATACTTTACAGCATGCAACATCTCACAAAGAACGTTCAACGATGAACATTTGTACCGAGAGATGTCGCCTTTGCTCTTAAAACTTAGTTGTTTAAGCGTCTGGGCGCGAAACCGAAAGTTGCTGTTTCAAACCCCACACCGTTTTTGTTCAAAGAAAGTTTTTGTTCATTTATCTATAAAAATTCACAATTTAAATTTTCATCTCGAACACAAAGGAAAGCACTAAAAATAAAACTAATAAAGTTTTATTTTTAAACAAGACAGCTGAATGTTATCCAATAAGGTTTTCACTCGGCGTTGATGATGACGAAGATGATGACTCAAGTGTGACTGGTATCATATTATAGACTGGGAGTCCTCCCGCGGCCTATCCGGTGTCGTGAGAGAGTTGCTGATTTAATAATCAATCTAACAACCAATTGGATAACTCCAATGGGGTGTTCACTCGGCGTTGATGATGACGATGATGACGACCCAAATGTGAGAGGTATCATATTATAGACTTGTAGTGCTCCCACGGCCTATCCGGTGTCGTGAGAACGTTGCTGATTTAATCAATCAAACACCCGATTGGATAACTCCAATGGGGTGTTCACTCGGCGTTATTGATGACGATGATGATGACCCATGTGTGACTTTTCCTGATTGTTATCCAACGAGGTGTTCACTCTGCTTTGATCAAGATGATGATGATGATGATGATGATGATGATGATGATTTTGACGCAGGGTGTGGCTGTACAACAAGGTGGTGAAGCGGTTCGCGGCGGCGCGGCTGTACGCGGACGCGTTCGCATTGCGCCAACGGATGCTCAGCTGCGTGCAGCACCTGCAGTACTACATGTGCGTCGAGGTCATCGAGCCCTCCTGGTGCCAGCTCATTCAGAGCCTGGACAAGGTAAGACCTACCTATCTCCATGAAGAGTCCAAAGAGTTGCTTCCGAGTGCTGGCCGCACTGAAAACTGGTGTAGGGATCGGAACAACTTTAAGTTTCCGTGTCTCGATTTTTATGGGTCTCGTACACAAAGTGCAAAACGGGCCCTATTACTAAGATTCACTGGGGGAGGCCTATGTTCAGCAGTGGACTCAAACAGGCTGAAATGATGATGATGATACTTAGACTCCGCTCTCTGTCTGTCCCTCTGTCACCAGTTTGTATTTCATGAACCGTGATTGTAAGACAGTAGAAATTTTCACAGATGATGTATTTCTGTTGCCGCTATAACAGACATGTTTTTTTTGTAGTTTTTATAGATAATCTTACGGAACCCTTCGTACGCAGCTCCGACTCGCACTAGGCCGGTATTTTTACTGCGTCTAACTATCACAGTTCATGAGATACAGTCTGGTGACGGACGGACAGACAGACAGACAGCGAAGTCTTAGTAATAGGGTCTCGTTTTACACTTTGGGTACGGAACCCTAAAAACGAGCACATTTTATTCCCGGACACATCGTTTATCAGTGTTTTCTAAACAAAATAAGTGCAGAGAGGGCATTAAAAATTAACAATCAAATATATGATGACACTTTAGTCCCGGATACAGGGACATCCCCTGTATCACGGAGCTGTAGTATAAAGTGTCGGGCAGGTGAACAACGTGGACGAGGTCCTGGAGAGGCACAACGACTTTCTGGAGTCCTGCCTCGGAGATTGCATGCTGACCAGCCCCCAACTCCTCAAGGCGGTCACCACTCTCTGCCTGGTCTGCGTGCAGTTCTGCACCTTCATGCAGGTACGTCTCTCTCCCCCTCTTCCCCCCTATCCCTTCTCTCTCACCCCCTATCCCTTCTCTCTCACCCCCTCTCCCTTCTCTCTCACCCCCTCTCCCTTCTCTCTCACCCCCTCTCCCCCTCTCTCTCTCACCCCCTCTCCCTTCTCTCTCTCTCTCCCCATCTCCCTTCTCTCTCTACCGACCGGTAAAGAGAGGGCGTTTTTCCTCCCGCGACTTTTCAAGGGGCGCACTACAGGTACAAGGCTCAATGCTCTCGATGTTTGCCACGTCCAAATTACCAGTGTTGCATATCCTGTATATTTATATATCCACGATCTACCGTAACGGGGCTGGCAGAGAGCCACGCGATTTTTGATAATTATACTGATAACTATTCTTTATCATTCAGATTCTTATAACTATAGAAAACTGCAAATAATATACACGCGTATAAGTAATATATTCTGTATTTGCACGATATGTAACTCACAGATAATCTGGACTTTCTGTCTCTATCGCTTAAATAGAATACTCTCTTCTCGTTATTCAAGCATTTTTATCCATTTCTGTATTTTGTTGTGTACCATATGAAAGCTTACGATGTGTGGTTATGAAAATATGGCTACAAATATGTATTTTTCATAATTTTTAGACATTACATACAAAGATTATGAAAAATATCATATTTTATTTTTTGACACGTTTAAATAAAAGACTTGAAGTTCAAAATAATCTTTGAATAAATTAATTTATGTTCAAACGGTATCAAAACTTTCTTAGCGTAAGAATAAGGTTATCAACAAGGGTTTTCTATTTATCTGCACTTTTCAAAGCACACATCGAATGATTTCCGAATAATTTCCTTAAAAATAAATTTTTATAAGCCCAATTTCGCCACATCCTCTCTTAGTTCTTAATGAAAAAAATGTCCTGTTAAATTCATTGGCAGACTCTTATGAGGTCGAAAGTGTGCTATTATCAGTATTTTCTAACAATCGTGAAGTATAATCGATTTTCCATAGTTCCGTTAGATGATGACATAAGATTTTGTTGATCTAATTTTGGAATATTGGACAATTTTGCTATATTACTCGACACAGAATATTTTATACGAATCAGTTGACAAAACACCTATTTTCAGTACAACAATGACTTAAAACAGTGACATTTAATCTCCAACATATTTTTAATCCTGTCATTTTTTATGATCGTTTTATAATATTAATAATATAAAAATAGATAGAGATGTATGACGACCCGAATGGCTTAGTTGGTAGTGTACCTGCCTCCTGCGCCAGAGGGTGTGGGTTCGATCCCCACTACTGGAAAAATATTGTGTGATGAACATTGTGTTTTTCTAGTGTCTGGGCGTTTCTATATGTATAATATGTATTTATTTACAAAAGAAAAGTATGTTTAAGAATGTTTATCAGTTTTCTAGTACCCGTAGTAGAAGCTTTGCTTAGTTTGGGACTAGAGAATGTTGTGTACAAATGTGTCATAAAATCAAATATTTAAAATATAAAAATAGTTGCGGCTTGGGTCTGCATCATTGCCGTGTTGTATTTTCGACATGGAATATATTACTTTTTACCCGTTGCAAACTCCAAAGACCTTTAAGCTGTCAACAGACTTAAAAGATGATGAAATTGGGTCTGTAAAATAGAAGTAGTCCCCTCTAAGGCATACGCTTTTTTCAGGGTCTCTACGTTCGTGTAAATGTAGTTTTAGCCGTTGTTTGTCGAAAAATTCGTCGAAAATAAATCGTTGAATTAATTTTCGACGAATTTTCGACAAACAATTTTAGACTTAAACGTAAAGCATTAAGGATTAATTTGTTTTGTGTTCTTTAACGCTACCGAAACACGTTAATCGGCATAAGGAGATGCGCAAGTACTTCGTGGATGCAGAGCTTAACTGTATGCTCGGATCGCCGTATGACAATACAGATTATAGTGAGGTATATATGTGGCCGAGTTGCCAGTTTGTTAGCATTTAAAAGTAACACTATACCGCACTAGACTACATAGTGTTGCAACATCAGTTATTAACAAATGACCATTGTATTCTCAATTGTATTCATTAATAACGTTCTATTACTACGAATGCAGACTATTTCTTCACAATATAACTTCTTGTTGTAAACATAAATTTGTTAAATTTGAAACAGTAAAAGTATCACTTATATGTCACAAAGAAAAGTACATATTTCATATAGAAAAATCATTATGTCGCAAGTAATATCAATGTCGCTAATATCTCATACTAAATGTATGAAATTGTATGAATTCGATCTCACGAGTAATGCTTCCATGTAGTATTTGTGTTGAAATTGATCGATGTGCTGCCTTCTTGTTGTTTCATGACTGGTCTGATTAAGACCTCTACGGTGAGTACGAATATTTTTATTCATGATATCCATTTTCTCATAAATATTAGCTTGCGTAGTTTAAATATTAAATTACATTTTAATATCGTGTATTAAATACTTATCGGTTTTATATATAAGTGTAATTACTAGTGTAACAAAGCTGTAATTAAACTTGCTGTGCTGTTAAACTACAGGTCACTAAATATTTCAGATTCAAATTTTTATATATATTTCAAGCATTTAATAACTGACCCCTACTATGTGATAGTTGATTTATTTATGTAATTTTAAGGACTCTCTTCTTTAATTTAGGCAATTAGATTGAAATTTCAAAATCACTATAGATATACCTGGGGATATATAATATTTCAAAATATATAGTATTGTGTCGCTTTTAAAGTTTAATCATTGATTCCTCCCGGCCGATTTCGCCCACGGCTACTGCATTCAACTCCGATTTTTACACCCTCCAACCACATTCAAGTTCATCACTCTTCTAGTCACATGAATTTCATCCCTTCTAGTAATGTGCTCATACAAGGTAGAACGCGCCAAAAGATATATAACCTATCAATCCAAAGACAAAGATAAAGAGCCAAGCCAAATATATTACACACAAATAAGACATAGATATGGTACTACCCAAACTGAGGCACTAAATTACAGCACCAATTGCTGTAATAGATTGTAATTCTATGTAGGTAACCCTCCTATCACCTTTTACAATCATTCATATAATGTAAAGCGGTACAATTTTCAAACGCCCCGCAGTTTGGACATGCGTCGTATTTATTACATCATAGGCCTCGGGCTGCGGCGCCAGCGGCGGCTGCTCCGACTCGTTCGGCCGCTCGGTCTCCCGCTACGGGCTGCGCTTCACCGCGGCGCTGCTCTCCGTGCTGGCGATCATCGAGCGGATGGCCAGGGACAACAACACCAACAAACTCCTCAACATCTCCGCCAGGTGAGCGTTAACGGAAGCGGCCACGGGAAACACACGCCGGAAACGGGTTCGAAACGTCGGAAATTTCATAATCGAAATCGAAACGCGATAAAATCCGTAAACTAGTTTCATCTGATACCTATAATTTTCGCGTAAAATCAAGACGTCAACATGGATTGGGTTTGGCTTAAGTGGCTTAAGCCGGGTTAAACGTCACCGGCCACCACCAATATCTTTGTTAGTAACCTTTACCAAGTCGAAATTTTAAATGTAACGAAATTTGTAATGTAATGTAATTTAATTCGTCCAACTTTGAAATTAATGTAGCATATATGGTGTGGTTTTCCTTGACATAATCAAATATTGCATTGGCAACGATGTCTTGTACGAAACGTGTGGAAATTATGCAATTGATACCCCTTGTAACATCATGCGAACGAAAAGACTTGAAGACTTGGGGCCACACGCGTCAAGACAACTTGAGGCATTGCAACCTTAATGAAACTAGCTTAAATAAAACTAAACAGAAATATAAAACCAGTACACCGCAGTTTCCGGGAATCCCCGTAACCTAGCCAAACAACTACCCTATGGTAGCGGAGAAAATACTACTTTAAATTCGCCTATGTAAAGTTTTGCGCGTTGAGTTTTAATAAACCAATAATAAAGCGGCGTCTAACTGACTGCAAGCAACTCGATGTACATTTTTTTTATGTGACAAGTTGCCAAGCGACGGTTCATCCGATGTTAAGTGAATATGGACATCTGCTACACCCGAGGCTTGCAGATGCGTTGACAACCTTTTGAAAATTGGGCTGCGGCCACCTCACTCACCAGACGAAACGCGAACGTATTATACTTCCACTTTACGCCGGTCTTCTGTGCGGTCGTCGTACTTATCCGGACGAGCCTGCCCATTCGTGCAACAGCCGAGGCTGCTGCGTGGCCCTACTACAGTTAAAATTTCACAAGAACCCACCACCGCCAGGTTAAACTTCAACACGTACTACGTGAAGCAGCTGGAGAAGTTCTGCTCGGACGACAAGCTTCTGGACGGCGAGAAGAAGGTCACTCCCTCCTAGCACAGAGCAGTCCGGAAGACCAAGAATCTCGTCACCAGCGTCTAACCCTTCCAGGCACTGCAAAATAATATTGGCGTCCCTTCAGATTAACTCGTTTCAGACTGTTCCCGCTCAAACGATTTGTGTTATCTGTTGCACTTAACACATTTATGTGGAGCGTCGCATTTTAACATCGCTTATATGACGTTTGTGGTTGCATTCGTTGGTGTAAGTTGGTCGGCTAGGACTGTGTCCGCAGGAATATTAGGAATGTTTGCAATAGTCAAATAAGTTCTTATGAAACTTACGCCCGCTTTCTGAAACACTGATCGTCCTAGAAGTTAATCAGCTGTCAAATGGTTTTTAAAATTAAATCAAAACATTTGAAAAGCCATTTGACAGCTGATTAATTGACTTCTACTTTGATCAGTGTTTTAGAAACCGGGCGTTAGCTATTTAAATTCTCGTGAAAGGTAAGGAAGCGATAGTAAATATCGGTAAAGACGTTAATATGTTAGTTACAAATAAAATCAACGCTTTGACAAATTTTGCAATAATATGAGAAGTAAATTTATTCGTTGGCTTTAGCGGTTATTTTGAGTCTATTTTTCAATGACTAGTCAAACAACTATTGCAAAGCATTTCGTATGAATCTTATTCATAAGAACTTATCATTAGCCGAAAGACGTTCACTGTTTAAAAAAGAAGAATCTCTGAGAATGGAACAAAGGATATTGAATAAAAATATAAATAGAAACTTCAAATCATCACGTTAAATTCTACAGCGAATGGATTTTTATTTTTCAAATTTTATTTTATCATTGTAATTTTTTAAGTAAGAAATCGATTTCAAATCAAAAGCTATGCACAAAATTTGAAACAATGCCATGATGTTGATCACATATGGTTAATTAATTTAGAATTAGTTCGAAAAGACCTTAGTATAAAACGCGATGCATTTTATACTAAGTTTAGATATTCCCTTACTTATAAATACTGAAACTTGCCGCCTTCCATGACGAAACTCCACTGTATTTAAGTAAATATCTGCATTATTATAAAAATTTCGCCGCACGCATCTAACTAAACTTTACGGATTTAGAACATAAATAACTTACCATTAAAATTCAATAAGTAATGAGTAAATATTAAAAACATATAAAATAAAAGATAAAGAAGGAGATGGCTTAATAATAAGCATCACTGCAAATAAAACAAAGTAAGAATGAAGTACAAATTCATGGTATTAGAATCTCTGAGAACTTTCATAACTTTACGTTTTTTTTTTTAAAATAAATGTTGCCATTAAGTAAAAGTCAGTGCGCGTATATTTTTGATAAATATAAACTGTTTTTTTCTAATAGAAACTCACACGACCCTATGAATAATTAATCGTACTAATACAGAGCTCAGACTGGCAAGACTTTCCGCGAAATAAATTTCAAATAAACCCGAACACCGTACATACTGCGAACTGCCAAATAAGCGGAATCGCTATTGTTTGTGTTTTCTGAAAGCTGCCAGTCTGAACTTGTCGTAAAGTTTTTTAATGTTATAATAGTATATAAATTGATAGTTGTGATTAATGAAGGGTATTATTAAACGTCAGTCACAAATAGTTCTAATTATAAAATAATCTGATGAGAATCCCGCGACAGCGTCCTTGCCATAATAATGTAGAATACGCGGTTACTCCAAGCCGTTACACTATTAATAGCAATACGTTATTGTTAACCCAAAGCCAAACACGTTTTGGCTTATTAGACTGTGTAATCGTTAGTGAAATTAATCTTACATGTTTCTTCCCTAGATTCTAAGTGTTTGAATGATTTAAAAGCGATACGATATTGAAATTTTGACCGGGATTATTTTGAAAAAAAATTTTTGTTATTTGGCATGTGTTCAAGATGTTATTGTAAAATTTTAAACTTATATTATTAATGTTTATTGGTTGAGTAAAATTTCTGTCGTGTATGTACACGCATATTTGGGTATAATGACATTCATATTCTGTTGTATCATCAAAATGTATGTGTGAAGAATAAAATTAACAAATCTATGGCTGTTATAATACAATCTAATGAAATTTTCTCAACGCTTGAAAATGTATCTTTAACTTATTTGAACCTTACGTTATTCCGAAATGCGTTTTAATAATTATTGCTGCGATTTTATTTTAAAAATATATGTTACAAGTTACGGAACATGTAATCTAACACTGTCAATATTTTTACCAAATAAAACTAATTTACCTAATGCTACTATTATTTTACCCGTTTCAAATACTGTGTGACCATATAATAATCAGTTTTATATTTAGTTATTAATAGTTATTTTGGGTGAATGTGGCAAGCGAGCAGGTTTGCGCCACCTATTTACCACCAACGCTGCTATTGTGCTGCCAGCAATTAAAATTGTCGTAACCAATTAAACAATACCGAACGAAATGAAAAAATGTATTGCTAATTAAACCTTTTGGTCGTCCCTCTAAATTTCGTGATACTTCACGGACAAAGCTCTATTGCAACCTGTAGTTTACTGTAATTAGAAGTATGCGCACCAAAGAAGTTACAATTTATTGGACAAAAAGATAAACATGAAATTAATACCATGCAATAAGTCGGAAACAGAAATTGAACACTGAAGTTAGACGATAAATCTCACTAGTCATCTTCGCGAAAATTCACTCTTATCGTTTTTCCGTAAAACTTCGAAAGAAACTTTAAAAACTGTTTACAATTTAATATAACACAAAATTATAAACTTATCAAAATGGTCACTACTCAGCATTGTTAACAAATTTAATAATCGCAATAAAACTTCGTAAATGCTGTGTAAATGTGTTCAAATCCCACTTACCATCAGGTGGGATGGCAGTCAAGTGCTGGGATAAATATCACAGGAGATCATTACCAAAAATATATACTTATAATGAGTTCTGTGGAGGTGCTTTTTGAAGAAATATTTCATCATGAAGAGTTCCCTCTTCTGCATAAAGTCAGCCAGCTGCTGTCTCTTGGGTTCCGTTGCTCCTTTCTTATATTAACCACTCTCGGTTCATCGCCTTTCCTTCGGCCTAGTTTTGCGCTGAAGCCTCACATTAACACCTTTTACTGACCATGTACTAACATAGCTCAGAAGATTGGAGCGGCGATTGGCCTGCAATATAGCTCGTAGAATCTAATAAATATAGGCGATGTCGAAGAAAAGTTCTCGAGTGGCATCCTCTGGCTATCGCAGTGTAGCATTACCCCCACTAGATGGAGTGGCGGTCTGTGCAAATGCGCGGGAATTCGATGTATGCAGGCGGGTCAGCATTGTACTTTGTGGCAGCCTTTGAGGGATGCCTGTGTTCAGCAGTGGACTCTAACAGGCTGAAATGATGATTATGGTAATTTAACAAGTTTAAATTTAAAGCAATACAAGGTATGTGGGTAAGATAATACAAGATATGTAATGTATGTGGGTAAGTTCATGTGTCGGTCGATGTGTCTATCGGTGGATGTGTGAAGTTGCCATGCCGCAGGCAATAACTACTGCTGTTTAAAAATTGAGCTTTTGTGTTAAAGCAAAAACTTTTAACAAAAGAATGAATGAAATGTAAATTTTTACTTTCTCTACTAGGTACGAAAGCACATGTGACAGAGTTGTCACTCATATTTAATTGTGATATTATAACTAAATAAACACCTTAGTTAATTTATACAACATTTTAAAACGCATCAAAATAAGGGGTTGCATGCAAAAAATAACTAATACAACTAATTATTCGCGGACATGATTAAAGCCTATCTTCAGTCTCGTTATAATCCAGACACTTGAAGGAAAGAGATTTATTTGACACAAGTCTTCAGTCATTTTGTAAGTTATTTAATGCGGTAGGGTCACGCAGCAGCTTCTGCTGTTGCACTAAAAAAGGTTGCAGGCTTATCCGGGGAATTACCACAGCCACATAGAAGACCGACGTGAAGTGGAAGTATTATACTTTCACGTTTCGTCTGGTGAGTCAGGTAACCGGGGCCCACTTTTCAAACAGTGTCAATGCATCTAAAACCCCCTCAGATGTTCAAGGGCGGCGGTTATCACTTAACATCAGGTGAACCGCCTGCTCTTGTCAATTTTTCACCTAAAAAAATATTGTTCACATTTCTTTGATATCATTGAGTCAGTTTCATTTGGTTCATTTTATGAAATTAAAAGAGATTTAGTTTGGTTTTAGTGCACTAATGCTGTCAGCGATCTACGTTATTACAGCCGCAGTAGCTCAACGTGATTTAATACTAGGGTGCCCAGACTTCCCATGTCGACATTAAAATATTGCTATACATTTTAAGCGGCGATTTATCAACCGCTTTGCCAGTGAGTAAACCTTACTAGGAAATGCTACGCTTGGAATACAAAAATATTGCTGAGCTGTGCCTAATAAATTTAAATAGAAAGAAAAGGACAACTGCGGTAACTGTTGCACGGATCGGCAGGTCCGTCAGGGGAAGTACCACGACCTCAAAGAACACCGGCGTGAAGTGGTAGTGTTATACTACTGCGTTTTGTCTGTCTGTAAGCGGAGCCTACTATATTAAAAGATGGCAACACAACAACCCTACGGGTGTTGCAATATCCGCGAAATATGTGCATGCACGCTTAAGTCGCGGTAGGGCCACGCAGCGGGGTAATAGGCAGGCTTGCTTAACGGGGAAGCACGTGCATATAACAGGAAACCAGCGAAGTGGAGTGTTATATTTCTGCATTTCGTCTCGTGGGTGAGATAGCTGGGATCGACTTTTTAAAAAGTAGCAACGCTTCATATAATGAACATCAACAACAACTAAGGGTTGTTGTTGCAGAATATGCTCGTGTGCGGCTGTTGTCACTCAACATCAGTTAAATGATAATGAATGTCAAAAAGTGCGAAAATCGAATATTAAGCATAATTATTTCAGATACTGGTAAAAATGAAGATTTGTATCGTAAGTTTTATGAAGAAATTTTCAAAGGGTTTACACCCTCGAATTCTTCTT